TCCTTCGCTATCATTTTGTGCATTATGGATACTGATGAAATGTTTTGTGTGATTGTAACGAGAGTGAGAAATGCACAAGTTATTTTGTGCTAGCAAAATGGAGAGGACTGTTTTTTTTCCAACAGTAGGGTGCCCATTTGCGGATGGGATCGAGTCGGGTCGGGTAGGGATGATCACCCGACTCGTTGCCGGGAAACCAAACACAATTCTTTCATTTATACACTTCAAACAGAGTCTATGCCGTCGAAATATCAATTCCGATCTTTAGACTCAAGACGGCATACCGTATAGGTGTCACTTCCGATGTTCAGACAGCATGCCGTGGAAATATCAACTACGATTTTCAGACGGCATGCCGTGGAAATATCGCTACCCATTGCTCAATGTTTTGATTCGAAACTTCGTTTGGTCCATGAGACGACGTATTCAAACTTATGTATGGATTCTTTTTTATTTTTTTTATTTTTTAGTAGAGTGTTTTACGGCGCTCGCAACTGCATAGGTCATATGAGCGCGCGGGACACACCTAATATTTTCAGTTGGTAGGAAATTTTGAATTTTGCCCGGGTGGCGGCCGAAGCCTACTCTTATCGATTTTAGACCACCAAGGGATCTTTAACGTGCGCAACTTGCACACGGGCCCTCCGAGATTTTTCGCCCTTGTCCGAGAAGGCTAGGTGTAGATCTTTCCTACCAGAAGATCAGGGGTGTGGCTGAAAGACTGCAGTAAGAAGAAGCGAAGGAGTAGCAGTAGAAAGACTGCAGAAAGAATCAGGAGCCCAGAGGAAGGGGCAAAGGAGGTGACGGGGTGAGGGCAGAAAGTGGAGACGAAAGCAGACGACATAACATTGCAAGAGAGCAGGAAATGAAGTGAAAGGAGACAAATTTAGAGAAGAAAATTTTTCGGTCGCTACCCGGATTCGAACCCTGGACCTTTTGAGTGAGAGGCCAACACCTTAACCTCTAGGCCACGAGAGCCCCCCGTATGGATTCTAGAAGTGTAAAAACTAAAAGAAACTAATTAAGATAGTACACATTTTTGTTATTTTCTCGTTTGATCCCCATTATATCTGAGCCCCAGTGCAACCATCACCATTGATTCAAATAATTTGTTTTGAACACGTGTATATAAGGTAACGGTTCCACATAAGAGTAGAGGGGTATTTTAGCAAATATTATGAACGTTTGAGATAAACTGACAAATAATCTAGGTGATGTGTTTTTAAATGTGGTCAGTATACTCACACAAAGAAGAAAGCGTACATAAAAATCAAATTTTAATATTGTAGGCCTACTTGCAAACTACTTTTACTTAAAAAAAAACATTTTATTTTCTAGACGTCACACTCATCAAAGTAGAATTCATGGGGATAAATAATTTTAATGGAAATGTTTCATTTTTTTCACTCAAAAAAATAAATCGCAAGCTGTGCCCCCCCCCCCCCCCTCCATTTCTAAAATCATAAATCAGAACCGCGTGTGACCACTTGTCACATTCATAGCTGATTACCACCGTCGACGCATGGAAAAGATAAGTTGATGGATAAACTGCTGGGGGAATCAGCTGCTAGATTCTTTCTAGCTTTTGCTTAAGTTCAGCTATCCTTTGGGGCTGGTCAGTTCTCTCTGAGATTGGTAACTTTTTTAACCAGTGATATTACGTGCCGCAGTTACGCAGGACGCAATATTTTCTGGAGATGAACGCAGTGAATGTCTGCGATATGATCCGAGGCCTTCCACTTCTAAGTCTATCATTCATTATACTGGACGCCCCTACACGTTCCTACAAACGTTCAGTTATGCTTTGGTGACGTTGAGCTCTTGAGCCACATCTTGTTGTGTGTGTGCAATACGTCGGAAATTGACGAAGACAATCATCTCCCAGCATCAGTAGAAGGGGAGTGTAGCCAACATGACGTAAAAGCACTCCCTCTTGTTAGTATAAAATGTCCTTTTTCTAACTAAAGAAACCCAGTCACCCATTTTATCTCCCTCCGCCCCTTCCCACCCCACCCGAAAAAAACCCTACATTACCTCATTGTAGTAGTATCTCTCTGTTCACTGTCGCCCACGTTCGAGTGCAGTTATTTTTCCCACAATCAGTCAGTAGGTGTGGCATTGTGTGTGCATGTGTGTTACATGATTTAACTACAAAAGCAACAAAGAGAAAACTGTGTTAAATAAACCGAGCTATGTGCTCACTTTGAGCCAATATCGTCATACTCCATTAAGACCTGTTATAAGCGTTGCGAGGGACGCGCTGCATGACAGCGCTGTTTCTAATCCACTCAGACATGGCGGCTAAGCGCCATGCATGGAGTAGCCTTATTATTATGCTGCCCCCCCCC